CATGCATGAATGAGAAAATCTCTGATCTGTAAGGATGGGAAATCTTTGCGTTCGTGATACGCTATATCGTTGAGGGTATTAACCCTAATAAGCGCACTACGAAGAATGGGATGGATTCAGCTCTATGTTTTGTGCTATTTTGGCACATGCGATACGGTAATGGTACGAGTACACGATCTATCAATCTCAACGAAGAACTAAGATCGTCGAAAATATGTGCTTAATTTGCTTGCTTACTTTTTTTCTGATTACATTGGATTTTGATTGCTGAGAGCATATCGCCGCCAAAGGATGTGTCTTGAGATAAGCTTTAGATTTTGCTCACTCTTTATTCAGAATTACTCAAAAAAGCTAAACTTAACATTATCCTGCAAGTTGCAGTATCGTAAAACATACATTCATTTTTCAAGCTTAGGTAGCCAGCAACATTATGATAATAAATACATTTTCATTAAGTGTAGAAATGAACGTGTTAACAATAACGCATTACGGAAAATAATTGATCGACTCTAATTAGCTCTGAGAAACTTCGAGAAAACTAAGTTATCCATTCAACAATGAACAGGTAAAATTGATTCTTACCTCTGCGTATTCAAAAAGGAAAAACATCATCAGTCTAGAAAAGATCAGTAGAGCCATTAACTGATTGAATTTTATTTATTGGGTAACTGTATTAAGGAGTCTCAAGAAAACCCACTGATATGGGCTCCTTTAACTTTTAGTTGTAGACATATAGGAAGTTTGAGACATAGCCCTCATAGCTACGAGACAATTAACAACGCTCCTCTCTTTTAATAATTCTGAAATCCAAATGGAGCCATGAATGTTAGGGTGCCCCATACGGTAATTATATGAACAAAGCACTTTGCAAAGTTAGGAAATTAGAAACAGTAAGTGAAATTGGTAAATAATCTTAATAATTTTTCTTTGTATATCAATTGGTGACATTGGCTCATTATCCATAAAATTTTAACGTTCCTAAGCTGAGAAATTTCCTAGCAACGATCACCATTGAAAGACGA